ACCCGGATTCTGACGTTGTAAGTCCGCAGACATAACGCTGTGCCACTGGGGGCTTTTTTTATTAAAATATATTAATTCTCCCTTTAGTCTATATTGTTATAGGTAAGGAAGTTTAAATTTTCAAAAGAAATTTTAGATCTTAAATTATAAAATATTCAAAGTTATATTATTTTATAGCATATTAATTGAATTTTCGTTTTTATTGTAATAAAGTACTTTTACAATTTTGAACATCGATATATATATATACCTCTTAATTTGTAAAATAATTTAAAGATAATTCATTAAAAAAAATACAAATGGTAAGTTGTAAATATTAACATTTATTTATTTTCTAAATAATTATGCATCGCCATTACTTTAAAAAAGTTGAAGGAAAAAAATGTCATTTAACTCCTTCAGATTTAAAAAACAAACAAAAAATTCAATAACATCAATATTTTTTGGTTGAGGAGATTCTGAGAACCTGTAACACCAATCCTCAAAGAAAGAGGATAAATCCATCATCTTGTTTCTCCGTGTAAGTATTGTTATCGTGGTAGTAATTTTATCTTTCTGAGAACCTGAAACACCAATCCTCAAAGAATAAGGATAAATCCATCATCTTGTTTCTCCGTGTGAGTATTGTTATCGTGGTAGTAATTTTATATTTCTGAGAACCTGAAACACCAATCCTCAAAGAAAGAGGATAAATTAAATTTAAAGGAAACAATCAGGAATGCTAATAAAAATTATTTTCTCTTCATCCCACTCGTTGTTCAAGGATATTATTACTTGATAAGGGTTTTTATGTCCAAAAATGAAAATAAGGTAGCTAATATTTACATTATCTACAAATGGAACGGACGTAGCCAACGAAAAAACAAAAAAGACAGAAGTCTTTGATGTGTACTGTCTTCCTGTCGATGTTAAGTTTTCATGTCTTGAGATAATTTCGGTTGTGTGACGATACTGCTTGATTGAAGACGTTGTGACAGAAGCATCCAACTCAAAGTAACTCACTTAACTCTAAATCTATACGCGTGTCATTAGCGCGCGGTCCTGTGATAGAACTCCTTCCTTTGTACTTGTTTTTCTGTGTGAGTAGCCCTATAGAAGTAATGTTTTCTTGATTAGCGCGGTCCTATGATTAAACTTCTTCCTGAGTACTCGTTTCTTTGTGTGAATAGGCGTATCTGGAAAATGCTTTATGTAACGTCGTCACAGAAACAGTATTACCAGTTTTAATAGTAAATCGCAATATGATATTTCAATTTTAATGTCATAAACATTTTACTTGTATTTTGTTCTCCGTTTTATTACGCTATTAACATAAAAATAGCGTAAAAATACATAAAAAAATAAGCTCTAAGATATCTCTCTTATATTTATCCAGCCAAAGGACTTAAATTAAGGTTTACTAAGGCAGTACTTCGCGTCGTCGTTTTGGTTTTATTCATCCTTTGTAACGTAACTTCTTACTAAAGATGGCGCTCAATCGATAAGAAAACGAACGAAATATACAGAGCTCAAGCTCGTGAATAAATATTTCATGTTTTTCGATTGCTTCCTGAAGACGGCGGGAGTTCTTAATTCATTCCCAGGAACAGTAATATTGAAAGAAAAAGTATAAGTACGCTGGAGCGAGAGCAAACTAGAAATAATTCAGTCTTTATATTACAGTTTGAGATAAGGTAAACAGTAGCTAATGTTAAAGTTCACAAAGTGTAGTTTGGACGTGGAAGAAGCGATAATAACTAAATGTCTCTTCAGACTGGCACGTTTCCTCTTAATTGGTTTTGATCTAAGTTCGCTAAATTGAGAGTATCATTATATCTAAGGGCCATTTACTGCTCGAGAAATCAGAAACAAACTGTTTAAAGTACACCTTAGTCATGACGAAACGCGTTTAATGAAACAAATATTCCCAGAAACAAACTGTTTATAGTACACCTTAGTCATGACGGAACGCGTTTAATGAAACAAATATTCCCAGAAACAAACTGTTTATAGTACACCTTAGTCATGACGGAACGCGTTTATAAACAAATAAATGCGTTATAAACGCGTTTAATGAAACAAATATTCCCATAAACAAACTTTAGATATCATAACAAACTTTGTTTGTTTGCTTGTTTTGAATTTCGTGCAAAACTTCTCGAGGGCTAGCTGACCCTAATTTTGCAATGCTAGATAAGAGGAAAGGCAACTAGTCAACATCACCCCCGCCAACTCTTGGGCTACTCTTTACCAACGAATAGTGGGATTAGTCATCACTTTATAACGCCCCCACAGCTGAAAGTACGAGCATATTAAGGGATGGGATTCAAACTTATGACATTAAGATTACGAATCACGTGCCCTAACGACCAGGCCATGCGAGGCCCTGTAACAAACTGATATAAAAATAATGCACCAAGCGAGGCCCTATAACAACCTAATATAAAAATTAATACACCAAGCGAGGCCCTATAATAACCAGATATAAAAAATAATGCACCATGCGAGGCACTATAACAACCTGATATAAAAACATAATACACCAAGCGAGGCCCTATAACAACCTGATATAAAAACATAATACACCAAGCGAGGCCCTATAATAACCTGATATAAAAACATAATACACCAAGCGAGGCCCTATAACAACCTGATATAAAAAATAATGCACCAAGCGAAGCTCTATAACAACCTGATATAAAATATAATACACCAAGCGAGGCCCTATAACAACCTGATATAAAAAATAATGCACCAAGCGAAGCTCTATAACAACCTGATATAAAATATAATACACCAAGCGAGGCCCTATAATAACCAGATATAAAAAATAATGCACCATGCGAGGCCCTATAACAACCTGATATAAAAAATAATGTTTAAGATACTTAAGAAATATTAAAGATATTTCCTCCGGGTTTTAATGTTAAAAATAACAAAGTTAATCCAGGTCGTTATAATGATATCATTACAAACCTTGCGTTAAGTTTACTAACCATAAAGGAACATGAGAGTAACTTTTAAGGTGAACGTAATACCTACAATAAAAGAATTATGTCAGGGAGTAAGGAGAGATTACATAAACAGGTAAATTGATCACATGAGCCAAACAGTCCTCTCGAGCTGTGGTTAGTCAGGAACGTCCATCTGGCTTTTTTTTTACCTGTCATATATTTCACCACGTCGCTGTCGAATTTCAAACTGACAGCTACTGCGAAGAAATAACACAAGTGTAAGAACATCTGTAGAAAAATAAAACACCTTGACTGACAGTTACCAAAATATATTTTTATTTAAAGTTTTGTAACTTTGGCCTAATTTAAGATGAAAAAAAGGAAAATTGTGCATTTTGTATTGAAAAATATTTGGAAATTTGCTCACTAGGTGGTGATAGATCTCCTTGTTTCAGAGCATGCCATATTCTGTTTTGTTTATCACTAGATGGCGGTATCTATTTGTTTTTGGTTTGTTATTAATTTAGCGCAAAGCTACACGAGGGCTATCTGCGCTAGCCGTCCCTAATTTAGCAGTGTAAGACTAGAGGGAAGGCAGCTAGTCATCACCACCCACCGCCAACTCTTGGGCTACTCTTTTACCAACGAATAGTGGGATGACAAAACCTTGTCGAAACGTTGTACATTTGCTGTTATGTTAAACTTATATTAAAGTTTTTCTTCATTACCCATTCAAGCCGTCTCCAGCCATTATTAGTCTCAAAGTGGGTTCCTCGTCATCGAATTTGAATAGTGGGATTGACCGTCACATTATAACGCCCCCACGGCTGAAAGAGCGAGCATGTTTGGTGTGACAGGGATTCGAACCCGCGACCCTCAGATTGCGAGTCGAACGCCCTAACCACCTGGCCATGCCTGGCCACATTTGTTTTTGGATATTCGCGCAAAGCTATTCGAGGACTATTTAGCCTTCATTGATTTTGAAATGATAGACTAAAGGGAGTGCAAGTAGGTAGTGAACAACAGTCACCGCCAACTCTGGGGCTACTACTGTCTGACCAAATAGTAGGGTTTGACCGCCACGTTTGTAATTATTTATATAATTTTTACATATTCGATGGTAATAGTTACCATTGATCCTGAGTTAAAATAAAGAAAAGTTTTGTTTTTTTTTAAATTAAGCACAACAGTACACGATGGGTCATCTGTGCTGTGCTCACCACGGGCATCTAAATGCAGTTTTTAGCGTTATAAACCTCAGACTTGCCGCTGAATTACTGGGGGCGTAAAGAATAGTGACTAATAATATGTCACTACCACGTGATCTGCTATATCCAGAGCTTGTCATATTGTATTTGTTCACTAGATGGAGTAACTCTGAAATCTATCAGCTGGTTCAGCGACTGATTCAGTGAACAGAGCTTTAATTAAATCAGTAATCCATATCTACTAATAATGAAACTGTCTTTATTTTTAATATTGTGTTTTGGTAAACCAGCAATGTAAGTCTAATGTAACGGAAAGGAACTTCAACTAACCGGAAACTGCTGATGTGAACTACAGAACTTTGTTCCTGTTTCTGTAGTGCTTAGCTTGAGGGGTTTGGAGGTAACTAGGGAACAAAAAAAAGTTGAGTATAAATCCACTTCGACCAGCAGTTTTCCAGGAAATAATTCATTTATTTCCTTCCAGTTTTAACTGCGTAACACTAGTGTTTTTTCTTGAATATTCAGACGACAGAATTTTGGAAAAAACGAAACCTCTTTCAAGAAACGTTAGAATAATTAATGGCACAGTAGTGTGGATAAGACGAATTTTTCAATTCGATCATGATAATAACTTATAAACAAGGAATTGCCGGTTTCATGATTTGTCTTTTTGTGAAAAAAAATCATTATTTCCTTAGTTATCTTAAAAAAATATTAAATATCCATTGACCCGAATTATTTACTGACTGTCAGCAAATTTCTCTCTTAGGAGCTATACAATCCAATAATTTATACACTGTACGGGGACTATATTATGATATGATCGTTCTTCACTGCTTAACGTGCCTGTCGTATTTAAGCTCAATTAAATTGTATTATGATTTTATATTGAACGTTTAAGGCATTATGGACATAACGTTCTTCCAAAGTAAAGGCTTTACACTGAAAGCTGCTGAAGCATTGAAAAACTAATAGGCCTGACACTGAAAAAAAATTACTCAAACTGCAAAAGTTTTTTTTGTTTTATTTCTCAAATTTTTCTTTTTTCACTTTTAAATCAGACGTTTGTAAAAGTTGAAGTTAGAAAGAAACAGTGATGATAGTTTTACACACGTCTGATTTGAAATGAGAGAAGAGGAATGCGGTAAAGATAAATATTTACAGTTTACTTGATCTATATATCACAAACGTTAGGCATAAGGATGTTTTTCTTTCCCTTGATAACATCATTTAAGATTGATTACTTTGTACGTTAATTTCCCAGATGGCTATTGGAAGAAGAAGAAGATGACCTGTCCGAAGTTCAACCAGATGCCGTCCCTAACGAAGTTAGAGAATGGCTTTCCTCTACATTTACTCGAAAGACTGCAGCACAACGAGTGCGCTCTGACGACAAGCCACGGTTCAGATCGGTTGCCAATGCCATTCGAGCGGGTATTATGGTAGACAGGTAAGTGCTGCCATCTAGCGGAGTAAACAAAAACTATTTTCGACGTCTATTTTAGTATGCAAGGTTATAACTTTAAGCAATATTATCTAATCTAAAATAATGAAACATTTCCACTTGTTTTATTTTATACAGTTCTTAGCTTCGTATTTCATTTCTACTCAGTTTTTCACATCATAACATTTCTCTCATATTCACATTTTTTGTTATACAAAATTTGAAATATCACCAGAAAAGATATTATCTAAAGAGGTTAATTTTTAACTGATCTTGTACATTTAAAATGTATTCTGTTCTTCAGATATATTTTCTGTAAGATATAAGCCCAGTCAAAACTATCATGGATATTTTATGAGCAATTATCTAACAATGTGATTTATAAAAAAAAATACACATGGTTTAATTGTAAATAATAAAAAAGTAATTGCATAACTTTAAAAGAATTAATTATAGTAATTACGACTGCGAGTACCTTAAAAAAGCCTAAACTCAATTTCCAAATAGCTTTAATTAGATATAAAGGACAGTTTTAAACAGCATTGTAGTATTTCAAGCTGAAAAAATTAATTACCTCAATTTCCAAATTAGGTATAAACAAGTTTTTAAACAGAATTACAGAAAAATCGGAAAAATGCTTACCCTCTATTTCCAAATGACGTAAATTAGGTTATGATGCCATTCAATTTCGAATTCTATTAAATTTTTGGTTCTTCGGTGTGTATTTTTATTCAATTTTATTATATATTAAAAGTATATACTTTTCTACTCCATATTAAATAAAGTATTTCGTTCAGTGAAGCTCCAAAAATGAAGTTTTTGTTGGTCAGTCTTGAGATATAAGAATCACAAAATGGTTCTTTATTTTTGTTCTCAGGATATACAGAAGATTGTCCAGTTCTTCTTTGATGCAGCAGATACCATCTCAGGTCATGCAGATGCTCAAGGTGAAACGTTTCTATACAGCTTACTCTCAGTTGTTTTGTAGGTGGCGCTGTTACACAAGACTCGTTGATGATGTGTGCAATTTACATTCAATTGTGAGCGCAGACAATAAGAATTGATTACTCCTATGGATGAAAATTAAATCGGTGCTACATATTATTTGTTGTTGTTTTTTAATGCAAATCAAGAATATATTTTACAGGTGGCGCTGACAATTTCTGTATCGTTGAGTACAGTCTCACAGATCTCAATATTATTGCACGTCTAGCGCATTTCTGAGGATAATGCAAATAATATTGTTGCTGAACTATGAGCAAGTAAAAGGGTTAGTTTTCAACAACTATAAATTCGAAGTTCAGGTTTTGTGAATAATTTTATTCGTAAAACATTTTAAACATTGAAATAAAAAATCAAGCATATTTCAAACAAATCAGTAATTTGGTTACTAAAAAAAAAGAAGAAAAAAAAAGAGAGATTTTGTTCCTAAAGTTAATCAGCCACTGAAATACTTAAAGGCTAAATACTACTTTGATTTTATAATTTAGATAAATATTTTTATCATTCTAAATTAATCCGCCATTCGATCAGTAGCTTGTTTATTGTCAAGACCAATAGCAATGCAGCTTATAGACTAATGCACTAGCTACCCGATGGCGCCACCGTTTTCTCTTCTTGAGTGTTTCGCTTGTCATGATTGGCTTACGGATGGTCTGTATTCTTACTCGTAACGTTTTTACTATATTTATTATCTACCAAGAATGACTTGAAAAGTGAATGTTTATGTTAAAAAGTCAAGGTGCCTACGCTTGCTGGTCTACTCCTATGGTCAGCGAATTTACCCTATCTGTTTGACTGCTTGTATACGCTTCAATCTTTTGGGTTCGTGTAAAGGGAGATCTTTTAATGCGAATTATTACATCCAGTTATGGCCCGGCATGGCCAGTTGGTTAAAGTGCTCGACTCGCAATCTGTTTGTTTGTTTTTGAACTTCGCGCAAAGCTACACGAGGGCTATCTGCGCT